TATTATAACATAAAAGTTTCTAAAAGAAAAAAAAAAAAATCAGATTAGGGGTGATGAATATAAGATTTCGCATCCAACTAAAAAATAGCCCATACATTATTTCTAATCCTTTTCAACGGGGTAACAATTTATGCCAACCGTAATAATTCATGTTCGATCCCTTCGGAACACTTGATGTCATGTGATTCATCGTTTTCTTTGTCACTCCCAATCCCGAAAGGTCTCGCATGGAATCTCTACACCATATCCCTCTCCAGGTCAAAGTACAGGAATATACGTTAATGTCCATGAAGGGCACTTTAATTGTTCGACCAATAGCCATTCTACAGTCTAAGGCTTTGTATTTGTTGATCTTTACTCTGTGCCAGTAAGAGGTACTCGGATTATCTCCAACGATCTAGGCATCTATTACGAATGTCTTTCCCATTCTAGAACAAACGAGATCAGGTTTCCACTTCCTTTTGCTACCTACGCACGTTTTTTTCTTTTTCTACCTCATAACCTTTCTTGGAGAGGGCTTCCTCTAACAAATTTACGACCGGATCGTTCCGTTTCACCCTCCCGTCATGGGTTAGGTAGCATGTTTGAATTACATGACTTGCAGTCTCGTTAACATAGGAACTTACTATCTGTAGGAAAACATTTGACCTATTGATGGCACACAAAGAAAATCTGGTAATTCCATTTTAGTATACTTTACAATAGAATGTAAGAGTTCAATTGCTAATAGTAGTTTAATCCTTAATTATTTATAGTTTAAATATACAGACTTGCTTTCATATCTCTCTAGGCATAAATAACAAAGAAACTGAAGACCAAAATAAATTGAGATACGATATTTTAAAGCCTACCGTCGATATAATAAATAGATTTTTTTTTTTATTTTAATGGCCTTACACATGAGTTGTTTTAGGTTAGCTAAAATTTTTAAGGTTTAGCTCCTTTAAAAATCCATTCAAAAACTCTACAAAAATCCGTCATTGCCAGAACATAACTTCTATTCACAGTAGAGCGGTAAGTGAAAGTTGTGCCATGAGCGTACCGGATTACTTAATTCCTATTAATCAACAATTAATACTAGTTGACTCGTCCGAAAAATTCTCAGGAAATTTTGTTTGTTGAAGAAATAGCAAAACAATATGGAAATAAGTAGTTCCTATGTATTTAATCCTGTTCAGTTATTATGTAAGGAAGGAATTAATATTTTTTCCTTAGTCGATTACAATATTCCATTAACCATAATAGACCAGCATATTTGTACAAATTGCTTTGCTAGGACTTATTTTTAAACACTGACTGGAAAGATAAGAAAAGTAATAAAGACAAAATAATGCCCTGGTCATAGGTTATTAAAAAAAATAAAATGTAAGAACAACCAAATTTCTTTAAGAAATAATAAAGTTAATATAAAAGTCAGGAAAAAAATTGTAGTAGACTATTCTATTACTAAATGCAATATCTTCACACAGAAAGATTATTGTATATTGACATCAGCAAACAGGAACATTATTGAATATATCAAAACTAATGGACTCTATCTTTGTTAATAATTGTTCGGTTTTTACTATTATATTTTTTGTTTTGTAGGTAATTTTGAATAAAATTTCTTTTCTTCCATAACTTTTTTCCCAGAAATTTCGGGATGGGGAGGCGAGACTATTTTTCACATGTGAAGGAGAAGAATATCTTCAAAATGAGTGGTCAATCATTGGATTCGATGAAGAATTGAGGAAGTAATGGCGTACCGACAAAAAAAAAAATTTTAGAAATAATATATACGATTAAAAATTATTTAGTATGGTTAGAAAATTAACAAAACATGTTTAAGATATGTTTACCTTATTTTCTACAAGACAGATCAAGGATTTCAGAAGCATAAAACCATTTCAAGATATGCTTAGAACCGTTTGAAAAAAAATAGGAATAAATTGATCTAGTAAACGCAGTTTACAGTTAAAACGAAGAAACTTGTCATTTTAACAATATAAATGCAGACATAGATTTAGATACAGACTGTTTTATGTTTTCTAACAATTAGGATCTGTGTAAAAAACAAATTCGATTACAATAACGCAATTTTGAACAAGTGTAGAGAGGCCTGGAGATATTGTTGGGCAAAGGTTCCTATCACAAGCAAAATGAAAAGATTGTTTCATGACATGAATCCACTTCCAGAGATTCAAGGAAACCGACGGGAGCAGACCATCATCACGCAGAATAGGGCACACCAGGCTCACGCATGGGCACCTACTCGACGGAAGTTCGCCACCAAGATGTCGCAGCTGCGATACAGCTTTAACAATGGAAAATTATTAAAGACATATCTTGGAAAATTGTCCAAGCTTAGATTCATCAAGGACCTCATATCTGCTGTTAGGATATCGACAAGCCCTACAACCTGGAAATCAGAAACACCTAGTCCAATTTTTGAAAAAAACACAATTACTACAGACATATTTAAACAATATCATCCTCATAAACGAATTCACAAAGTAAATTAGAAATAACCTATTCAATTGTAACAACACGTTCTTTAAACAAAAATACTAACAACATACACATCCAAAATTTTACATACATAAGACATATTGAAATGTAAATCAACAATCAAGATGGTGCCTCTAACCTATAAAGTTGCACACGGCACCTAAAATATAACCAGATAAATAAATAAAAAACAAATTCAGATCCAAAATAATCTAAATTAAAGACCAATGATCAGAAATAAACTAACGCAAGCAGAACTTTACTCTCTATTTTGATGACATTGAAATTTCAAAAAAATCACCATTAAGGCTGTACAATTCTATGACAAAACCGGCTTAGACAAAGTGAGATCTGGAGAATAAACAGCACTCTAGAAAGAAGTATTGAAACATTTGTGAATAAAATCCTTAAAGAGTAAGAGCTGCTTACAGAAACATCTACTATTGCAGAAACTATTTTTTAACTCTCGCATGCACCTCCCGCTCTCTTCCATAGTCCGGAAAATATCTCGTATAGCCTAACAGGCGATGATGGAAAAAAAAAAAAAAAAAAAAAAAAAAAAGATGAAATCAACATTGGTGTTGCAGAGCTACATGCAGATAAAGTGCACAAAATCAAGATCTGGAAAGCCAAAAGAAAAAAAAAATTGTGAGGTTTAGACCACACAATAGAACTGAAAACATCAACAAGGATTAATAATATGGAATATAAATTATAAACAATAGCTCATTATGAAGAAGATGAAATTATGAAAATGTTTCTCACTTACATTATACAGGGCCGATTTTTATTTTCTGAGGTAATGACGAAGAACACTATAGAAAAAAAAAAAAGTTCGTAAAATAATTTTAGTTTTAACTCGATAATGCTCCATATTATGTCACGAACAAGACCCTACACCATGACCTTAACATCCCATATGTCCATGACATCATCCCATCCAGATTCTCCAACTTTCACCAGAACCTCATTCATCATCCCAATCCTCTAGCGCAATCCCTATCCAGCTCCGAACATCCATACCATCCCCCTCGAAGGTTGAAACGGCAGTGGCCTCGAGATCTTTTGTAAATATGCCTTTGGAGTCCTGGCAATGGCCAGCTTCTCCACTCATGTCCTGAGCGTCTGTGGCTCTAGCGCCCTCTTCTCAGTCTCCATTGGCTTCTAATACTAGTGATGCGGCTGGAAAAGTGGCGCTGGGATCTTCCGGAGTCTTGCTTCGCCTTCCACGTGTGGGGGAAAAAGCCTGGCTCGGAGATTCTTGGGCGAATGTATATATTGTATATAGGTATGATTGTGTTTAGAAGTTTTTGTTTTATTTTATTTGTTTATTTTATTTTTATTTAACTTCTTCACCAGTATTATTTATTTACTTATTATATTTATATTTATTTCTTTATTATTTGTATATATTGTATGAATGAGAACTTGTAGCCCTAATGCTTATAGCCCTCCAGCAGTGGCTGATTGTATTATTATTCAATAAACAGAGTTTTAACTCGAAGAAGATTACCTAAAAATAAATTAGTTTTAAATATTAATTTTAAGTAATTGTAATAGCCAACATATGTTTGGAAAAAAAAGACAGTTTTTAGGAGACATATGGTGGAGTGTAGAGACACTCTAAGGAATTGTGTGTAAAATACTTTTGGTTTTACTGTGTACGCCGGAGTTGGTTTTACAGGGTACCTATTTTTCTTTTTCCCCACCTGGAATTTGTGATTGTCAGAGACGTGTCCAGCTTGATTTTACAAATTAGTGAATAAATATTTCTACAGCTTGATGGACTGGAGAGACCCCTTACGACGCTAGCTGGAATAAGTTCAGAAAACTCAATTTACCAATTCGACAAAGTTCGGCATTGAGATTTTGTAAATATGTATACATAAGTTTTTTTTCCTATCTATTTTTTTTGCAAACATATAGTTATTAATATTTAATTAACTCTTGAATATCTTTCTCTTTTTTTGTTTTTTTTTGCTTTAGCTAACCCTGACATCTCTACTGATCGTCCACTAGGTTTGCTGCGGAAATAATTTTCCTAAACTAAAGACCTTAAGAATATATTTTAATCCATATCCTCAATAAAACTCCTTATCTGTTGCTTTTCTACACTATTTCAATATTTTACCCTCACTAACATGTAGCGTTTCGGTACAATTTTGAATAATAACTCGCTACAAAGAGAACGAAATGCTTAACATTTCCCTCGCTTACAGTATGAAGGTCCGATTTTTATTTTCTGAGATATTTTAATCTAAATATACAATAAAACTCGTTCCCTTTTTTCCTTTTTTGCCTCTCTAAAAAGACATTAGATTATGAGAAAATTTTGAGTAATATCTCATTACAAAGAATATGAAATTCTAATAATTGGTAAATGGTTGACTGTCGTGGATAATGAAGAGAAGAATAGTTGGGGTGGTCAGTCAAAAAAGAAGGCAAAAAAATAAATGGTAATATTTATTTTTACATATGAAATTCTAATAATTTGTTTTACTTACAGTATGCAAGCCCGATTTGTAGTTCATGAAATATTTTAATCCGAATGCGAAATATCATAAAAAATTCACTGGTGTGCTTAAAAGTAATTAATACGCAACATTTATGTGGGCAAGAGATAAAGAGAGCCAACAGAAAAAAAAGTTCCTTTCTTAGGTATTTTAGATGAACATTGCAGTTATATCAATTCTATAATTCAACAAATGAATTTAATTAATCCACAAATATAATAACTATTCTTCTAAACAGGTTTCTTGAATTGCCATACACGATTCGAAATTTTCGTTCCAGTCGAAATAAGGGCAGCCGTAACCCCCCTCACGGAACTTACCTCTTGCTTCGGTTGAAGATGTCGCCATGGGGAACGGAAGAAACTTGGGCCTTCTTCTATGTGGGATCAAAGGGATCATCACTAGTTCCAACAAGTTGGGGATCTTGGCCGGGTATTCGTAAACCTCTTCCATGATTTGGTTGAGGTACTTCATAGGTTTCCATTCCCTGATCTCCTTAATCACATTCAAAGCTTTGTACAAATCCAACCGCTTTTCATCCTTCGGTTCGTAATCGCACCTCAACTTCAATACGCTGTAACCACTATCTCCATCCACAAAAATCTCACTATTTGTTTCTCTTCTCTTGGAAACTGGAAACTTTCCCGTTTCTGGCGTATTTCTTTCAATGGAGCGGCATATTCTGGGTGTTTTGAAAGGTATATCCGTCTTATCTGACATCGTCTTTTGTATATCTTCTATTGTTCTAGGGAGATTTGACATTAATTTTACTGAATGTGACTCTATAACAACGATGTCTTGGATCCGCGCAGCTAGACCGAAGTAACTAGTTAGGTATCGAGATTGAAGATGAACACCTGCTGAAGTTTTCAACCACTTCTTGATCATTAACTCATTGATGAAAAGTTCACTATTAAGTGCCAAGATCATGCCTTCCTTGGCCACTAAGTGATGGATGGATGGGACTCCATTGTTCTCTTTCGACTGTATATCTGTTTCATCTACGCAATCGTAAAAATCGATTCCCATAAAATGACCTATACCGTGAGGATAGAACAAATCGCATATTCCAGAATCTATTATATCGTCAATCGTTCCTTCTAGAATGAAATTTTGAATCATTAATGTTACCATTTTCTTCCGAACTGCATTTGCTACTTGTGCAAATTTTATACCCGGCTTCAATTGATCGAGCATGACTGACATCATTTCTAGTACGATATTATAGATAATCGCTTGAGAATCAGAGAAGATGCCATTAACTGGGACCGTAACGATTAAGTTGGTCCTATAGTTGCGCATTGCTATCCCCATATCGAGAATGCACAGACCGCCGGATTTGAGGTTGTCTGTCAAATGAAAGGTGGATTGTCGATGATCCAAACAAAACAGTTTGTCTCCGGCAAGGCAGGATATAGGTCTGGCTCTTGACACGTGGAGTGCACTAGACATCGTATATAGGTCGAATAGTGCGCCTAAGGAGTACCCTGTGAGACCCGGTCTCATATTCCGCAGGACGTATACCATTCCTTCGCTGTTAAGGTTCGCAGCAACAGCCATGATTGTCTGTTCTTCCAACGACTTAACCATGCGGCATTCGTTGAAGATTGGAGTAAGCACTGTGTTGCACATCCATATCCCGCATGTGGCGAAAATTGACACGATTTTGTTATCGCTCATTTTGTTGAACTTTTCCTCGTCCATGTTTGACAAAACGAGGAATATATTACGACCGAGTTTGGAAATCTCTTGTTTCATGTCAGAGAGAGGAACCACCTTGTCTATCTTGTACTTCTTTTTCCAAGAAATGTTTTTATTGACATGACAGTCCAAAAAAATATAGGACTTAGCTGTCTCTACATCGACTGCACCCCACAAGTTCGGTTTTTCCACGCCGAAAGCCCAATAGAAATACGAGTCCTGTTGGAAACAGAATGAACAATCAGGCGATATGATCAAATCGTTTCCTTTAAGTAGTACCATCGAGTTCGGGAACTTTGTTCTCAGATTAGCTGCGAGAATTTCTCGGTTCTCTTTGAACATGGCCCGGTCAACTTTGCACATACCGCATTTGATTTTTAAAAGTCTTATTGACGCATCCAGTTCATTTAATTTCCCTTCTATGTAATTCCTTGTTTTTTCATCGCATTCAGCAGGCACAAGTTTCATGTAATGCGTAAACGTCATTTTTGTTTTTCAATTTAAAAGCATAATTTGGATTTTTCATAAATATATTAGTTTAATTTAGTGATTTCATAAATAAAAACAAATAAATAAATAGTTTTAATCTAAGATTTATTTTTTAAAGTATTGTTATAAATTCACCATATGTTTCATCGGTGGCTAATTCAATGCTTATAAAAATTTGTGTGATCAACTGTTGTGTTAATCCTTTATTTTCTACACTCGGAGTGGCCATCTGATATATTAGAATAATTCTAAGAAGATTTTATCCACCAATCTGTTATATTAATTATCCATCACCGTGTGCATGGATAGAGAGAGAGTTTGTTCATGGGGGGCATGCGTGTTTTACAGCATTATTTATTGACCACGTCCACTGCACTTTATGTATTTGTATGCATGTTATGAATTAGGTTAGGAAAAGAGGAGAAAATCTAGGGAATGAGAAAAATGTATAAGGTGAGAGAAGGAACAGGATGTATAATGCTAATAAATGAATGAAAGAAATAGTAAAAATAAAATTAATAAATAAAAAAAAAATACATAGGAAAAAAAATTATAATAAAAAAAAATATATATATAGATAAAAAAAAATTGTATACTATGCTCATATATATTGTTAGTACTATATAATTGTATATTAGTTTTGGAAATTTGTCTGTAGTGATTAATAAGTATGCTGTGTTTAAAGCAACCCAATGTAATTGGGCAGCACCCTTTTATGATAATAAAGTGATTCTTTCTCTATTTTATTTATTTATTTTTTTTAGCCCGTCTTGACTTTTTTGACTTCCGCCATTAGCTTTTTCGCAGCATCGGGGGTGTTCTAGGTGATAATCTGTGATCCTTTGGTTCTCTTCTTAAATAGATGATATCCAGGGAGCACGTGATTAATAATAGCCGTGCGCGATCAAAATCATTCTCTCTTCATCAGAATGATTGGCAACCTTTTCCATGAGTCTCTATCATGTTGTCGTTTTTTACCGGATAGGGTTATTAGGCCCTGAGCCCAACCTTCAAATCTGGAGTTCCATAGGAACTATGTTATTCAGAAACAGGGGTCGCTGTCACATTCCTGTGAATCTCAGGGACGTTACCGTCCCCCAACGTGAATCGAACCCTCGCCGTAGTCGTCTAAGAAATCTTGTAGGAACTGCACTTATTTTTTTTATTATTTATTTATATTTTTATGTTGTTATGGGATTTAAACTCGTAGCATAAAATTTTTGCTGGCGCCTTAACTCATTCGACTACCGCTGCCCCAGTGAGAGTTATAATTGTCAAAGAATATTTAAATGCTAACATTAAGAATGTTAAGATTCATTTTTCGAGTCGGTACACTAAGGTGAGCGTAAAGGTTTCTTAGACATGAACTCTAACTTAATCGAAAATTTTAGTATACTTTTCAAATTTTGTCTTTTTTTGTTTTTGAGGGCATTAACAGCTTCTTTGACCCCAACAGATTGTTTAAAACCCATGTCTTTGTTGTAGTTGGTACTTTAAACATTACATTGTTCAGATATTTTACAATTTATTACCTCTTTAATAATGACATATTATACTCAAATATAAAATTACATATATGTAATAATAGAAAATTTTTATTTTTAGCTAGGTTTTTTAACTATTAAACAGGTGATATGATTATAATTTCGTCAGTATAGGCAATAAGATGGTATTTAGTCAAAAACTGGAACTATAGTAACTCCAATACGCTAGTAAAAAAAAAAAAAAAACGCTGCAAAATATTTCACTATGGTTTATTATTTCCAAACAATTATACATCTAAAGCAATATTACCTTCCGAGTTACAAAGAAAAAAAAACAAATGATGATTCCAGTTATTGGACTAAACTTTTTTTTTAATCATTAGTAATATGCTAAAAAAAATGTAGCATTAGTTCAGTAACACATTCAAAATTTAAAGACCAAGCCAAGGATATAACATTTGGAGTAGAACATATAAAAAAAACCGAAGACCATATCTTTTCTCCTAATTGTCCGATTTTAACAACGATATATTTTTATTTTGTTTTATGAAATTTCGTAAACTTTTAAAAAACTTAAAATATCGACAAAAAAGTACCAACTTTTTAAGTTATCCGGAATTAAATTTTACCATCCCTCGTAACTTTTTTTCCAGCTTCTTTTCGTTGAAGTATGTTGTATAGATAAATTTGAAGGGCATCGAAAGAATGGCTTTAGCGAAGTTTCATTAAAATCTGTACATTCGTTTAGGAGTCTAGAGCAACGCAGGTTTTTCGGCCGCCATTTTGAAAGTTTAAGGCGGAGAGTAATGTCGATGAAGGAGGATCATCCTCGGGTGACCTCTGATTTTATATCAAAATTTGAAAAAAATCGGTCCAGTAGTTTTGGAGAAAATGCGCGGACGGCGGGCGGATAAAAAAAAATTTATTCGTTATTCGAATTCTACGCGTCCTGAAACGTGAAACCTCGAAAATTTCGAGAGGTTGTTAAGTTTTTAAATTTTTTGGTCGATCACAAAAATTGATTATTGAAAATAATACACCAATATATACAAATGAAAATAATGTTAGTTACACTAAATTCAATGTTTCCGCGTTTGAAATCTTCAACAAATTCCGGCGTTACCTGCGGGGGTTAGGTCATAAAACTGTTTTAAGAGTTCAAACCTTTCTCAACAATAGATTCTGTCTAGTTGTTGTTGTTGTTGTTGTTGTTAAGGCTTAGAGGCTTAAAACCCAGAGGTCATAAACGCTGTCTATTCTTTATTTATATTACCTTAATAATAAATTATTTTTATGAAAAAGAAAAAAAATCGATTTTTTTTAACAAATCATGGACTTTAAGAAAATCTATCACCGATTTTACTTTAACTTCATCCTTATTTAAAATATCTGATAGTTTTGGTATGAGTCGTAATTTTGATAAGATTGATACGGAATTGGGCCACTTATGAAAAATGTGGCTGACTGTGAGAATACTGTATCAGTATTGGCTGCTTACTTATCAGGTAAGAATGTGTCAGGTTCGTATATCCTATCTTTTGTTTCGCCAAGGCAACCTCCTCTATACGAATAGAGCAGTTCGAGGTGGAGCATGATTTTACTTATCTTTTTTTTAACTTTCAATATGCTCGGAGGGATATACAATATGGGTTTTCAGGCGATTTGCGAAATGGACCAATATTGTTTGCAATTGTTTGAAATGTCGTAACGACTATACTTATTTATAAAAAAAAGATGTTTCAGCTGTCTTAAGATAGAGGCATGTTATCCTGTCCATCACGTACCGTTAGGTTTGAAAAAAAAATATCTTAAAACCAGCTTTAAATATAAAAAATGTGGTTTTCATTTCTTCCCAAATTATCTCACATCATGACATTATTAATGAAATAATTAAGTTAAAAATTGTTGAGCATTAGTTTGCACTAATGCAGCTAAAATTCCAAATTTTAACTTTTGTTTTTTCTCCCAAAATCCAACCATAGTTCTAACTTAGTGTGGACCGGTGAAAAATAAAATTAATCGACCAAGGTAGGATTCGAACCAACCTTCGAACGAGCACTCTGGTATCTGCAAGTCCCAACGTGCAGAATAGTGTTGCCCATGTGCAAGACCGAGATGAGTCTTGGTCTTGCTAACTCAGTTTTGGTCATGGTCTTGGTCTTGCGGAAGAGTCTCGCACCAGTCTTGCAGTTAATAATTAGCTTATTACTATCGAGATATTACTGTAATTTTTCAGATATGAGAAACCTAACTAAGCCCGAATAAAAAATACAGGAGTTAAATGCAAACGTATGTTGGTTATACGAATTACTAACATATAGTAATTAAGATTGTCAAGTATTAGTAACTATTTTTCCTTAATTTTTATTAAAAAAGTTATTTTTTTTTTTTTATCAGTCCTGGTCTTGGTCTTGAAACAGTTAGGCGGCCTTGGTCTTGGTCTTTGGACAATAAGACCGATTTTGGACAATACTAGTGCAGAGCCATCTCGTACTCTACTATTAACTGAAAATAGATTTCAAAATTTACATGGAAAAAACGGAACAAGAAAGAGCATGTTTAGAAAATAGTAACTACTTAAAAAAGCAGAAAGCGTTATCGATTTGATAGTTGACTAGACTCGTATCTTCTGGTGTCCTCCGCAGCCTCATAGATGAGACCTCATATAGTTATCTTAAATTCATAATTGGTAAATGGTTGACTGTCGTGGATAATGAAGAGAAGAATAGTTGAGGTGGTCAGTCAAAAAAGAAGGCAAAAATAAATGATAATATTTATTTTTACATATGCCGACGTTTCGACCTGAAGTTCAGGCCTTCATTAGGGCTAAGAAAATAACCAGATAACAAGGTATGAGAAACATAAGTAGTGATGGTAAAAAAATAACAAAAATAAAAGAATTAGAAAAATAAAATAAATAAATATAAAGTAAAATGAAATTGTTAGAATAATGACTAAGAACTAAGAGATAAATAATAATAACCGTTACAAAGTGGGGAATGATGAAGTAGGCATAATCGAAAAGGGTGACATAAGTGTTACAATGGGAATCTTAGAATAAAATGTAAAACATAAAAAAAAATATATATATGAAGTTAGATAAGAAATGAAAATAAATGGTAAAATTAAGACATTGAGAATGGAGTAGTTAGATAGAAAATTGAGATATTGTAAAGTCTATCTAGATGTACAGACAATATATAATATAATAAAGAGTTAAAAACAGAGAAAAGGAATGAAAGGCCTGATGAAGACCTGATGAAATGCCTGATGAAGGCCTGAACTTCAGGTAGAAACGTCGGCATATGTAAAAATTTCAGGCCTTCATCAGGCCTTTCATCAGGTCTTCATCAGGCCTTTCATTCCTTTTCCCTGTTTTTAACTCATTATTATATTATATATATTGTCTGTACATCTTGATAGACTTTACAATATCTCAATATTCTATCTAACTACTCTATTCTCAATGTCTTAATTTTACTATTTATTTTCATTTCTTATATAACTTCATATGTATATATATATATATATATATATATATATATATATATATATATTTTTTTTTGTTTTTTTTTTATGTTTTACATTTTATTCTAAGATTCCCATTGTGACACTTATGTCACCCTTTTCGATTATGCCTACTTCATCATTCCACACTTTGTAACGGTTATTATTATTTATCTCTTAGTTCTTAGTCATTATTCTAACAATTTCATTTTACTTTATATTTATTTATTTTTTTTTACCATCACTACTTATGTTTCTCATACCTTGTTATCTGGTTATTTTCTTAGCCCTAATGAAGGCCTGAACTTCAGGTCGAAACGTCGGCATATGTAAAAATAAATATTATCATTTATTTTTGCCTTCTTTTTTGACTGACCACCCCAACTATTCTTCTCTTCGTTATCTTAAATTGATTTCAATATGCTTAAAAACTTGTCCCTGCGTTTTATCACTAGTAAGTTAGTAAACAATATTTACTGGAAACTGCAACCAAAATACTAGACCGTTAACGACCAAACTTAACCAGCATCCTTTTCGCACCGACCCCAGTCATACGAAATGAATGACAAAATGACATTTCGAAATGACTGATTGACATTTCGACATTTCGAGAACGTGAGGTCTCCATTCACTAGACATGAGGTTGTTACCCAAATATTCCCTTTTAATATATTAAAATAGGATCATATTCTATGTAATTTGTGGTGATGAATCGAATAGTGAAGTACCTTTGATGGCAGTAATAACGTGAATTTTTATATTTTTTATTAGTGTTCTAACTTAATTTTAAATCAAAAAAGACTAAATAAAAATGATAAACAAGAAACGAAAACCTCTTAGAACTGTAGATTTTAAATATATATTTATACATAAATAAAAATACTCTTCTTATCTACTGAATACAAGGTTATCTTATCATTACATAAGTATATTTAGTCAATTTCTATCATATATAAAATACTTGATTATTGAAAAATATTACAATCTGTCTCAAAGGACATTTATAATAGTGTTTAGAGATCAGAGTCACACTCTATACAATAAATAAAAATAAATTAAATAGAAAAATAATATATATACAATAAATAATAATAAAATAACCTAAAATAATAAATAAATAAAAAAGAACACATACATACCTGTTCAATATTGGGGGGCTCGGTACATGCCATATGACCGGGAGCCCTTTTCTTGAGAGACACAAAATAAAGAAATGTTTTAGAGAGGAATACTTGTGAATATATGTGTAAAAGTTTACGTACAGTTTGATGAGGGGGGCCGGTCTCGCGCCTTCTCTCTCTCTCTCTCTCTCCGCCGTTGCGGGTCCAGAAATTAGCCGAAGGGCTGTAGTTCTCGAGGTCTGGTCAGGAGGTGGTCGTCAGCAGTCCTTTTTACCTTCTTCGCTCGCTAGCATCTGTCTTATCTGTCCTTTGGCCGCAGATAAGGCCGCCTTAGAGAGGGGGTAGTGCAAGTTGAGACCGGGGGTTCCCCCGTGTTGTTTATACAACGATAATTTATAATGCTGTGTACAATAAAATTTTGGATGTAAATCCAACATACCGCCCACCTAAATTTGGCTCAGCCAGATTTAACAATAATAGACAAAATGCAAAAACGAAGAGGTGAGAGGCGGGAAATAAGAGAGCGAAAATGCCTCCAGCATCCAAATTTACAAAGTAAAATAAATAATATTTACATGAATAAATAAATAAATAAATACTATAGAATAAATAATGAATATATACATCAATAACCTTTATAGACGTTCTCTTTAGAAAAGCACAGTTTGAGTCATTTCGTAATGACTCCCCTAACCATGGCTCCTCCCCCCCACTCCTTTGGTTTTATTTCATAATCATCATAAAAAGTGTTATAACTTCAATATTCTTCGACATATTCACACGAAAATTTTCAGGGACGTAAGGCCTTATAAACTACATGAAATGACTCAAACTGTGCCTTCCTAAATAAATCAGAACTCAAGTTATAAAATAAAAACCTGTTAGGAGTTTTTATTTACTTACTCTTTATAGACGTGTTAAATCAAAAACTTATTTGTACGGTCTTGAAGGGGGATAATTCAGCTAACCAACGGTTGCAGAAACCCTGATTTAGTATAAAATCCTGAGGAGTTATGAATGTTTTAGTTAAAGGCAGACAAAAACATCATAATGAAAAGTGAAGTTGCCATGACGACTATCTCAGCACAGCTCTTCTATCCTATATATTATTTCTAAAAGGTGTTTTTTTGCCGGAAATTCAATGATTGGCGACTCATTTTGAAGATATTCTTCTCCTTCACATGCGTAAAATAGTCCTATCCTTATAAAATAAAAAAAAAAATTATGAAAGAAAAGAAACTTTATTTGCAAATAACTAAAAAAGTAAGATTTTTTTTCATTGTTTTACAAAAAGTATGATAGTACACATGATAATTAGAAAGATTACCAAATTACTAACAAAAAAAAAAAAAACTGTAAAATTCGGACAATTATTAACAAAGATACAGTCCATTAGTTTTGGTATACTCAATTATGTCTTCCTGTTTAAAGATATTGCATTTAGGAGTAGAATAGTCTACTACACTTTTTTTTCCTGGCTTTTATATTAACTTCATTATTTCTTAAAGACATTTGGTTGTTCTTACATTTTATTTTTTTAATAATTTATAATATCCTATGATCGGGGCATTATTTTGTTTTTATTACTTTTATTGTCTTTTCAGTCAGCGTTTAAAAATAGGCCATAGCAAAGCAATTTGTATAAATATTTTGGTCTATTATATTTAATGGAATATTGTAATCGACTAAGGAAAAAATATGAATTCCTTCCTTACATAATACATAGGAACTACTTATTTTCATATTGTTTTAATATTTCTTCATTAAAAAAAATTATTTGCGAAATTTTCGCACAGGCCAACTAGTATATATTATTACCGATTAGCGCTAGGCTGGTTCCTGATTCTAATCCGGTTTATGAAAAGTAATTCTCCAACAGCCGTGAACTCACTCTATGATTGGAAGACATTTCATAGTGACACCCAGCCACTAAAAGTGGTTGCACTAAATTAAAATAATTAACTAAGGGGAAAAACAGGCATGCAGAGCGTGATCCTGGCTCGATCTCCTCCCTGCACGGCCATGGAACAGTACATCCTCACATAGTACTGAGCCCAAGAACCTTCATGGGTTGTAGTGATTCAGAGTTTTTTAGTTTTTTATCAATAAACAAGTTTCAAAAACAAAAATATAATGTGTTAATAGCAATCCAATATATTAAGGAAATTAAATGTTTCTCGATCTTATTAGAATGTCTTGTAACTGTCATAGATCAGATCTGGGAGTTTATATTTTTATCTTGATATTAAGCTGTGTTCTGATAAATGTAAGGTTTTGAAATTGTATATTTGACGTGTATAGAGTTCGCTGTTGCGAATAATCTTAATCATTTTTTTCTGTACAATTCATAAACATCATTATCAAAAATTACCGCCCTGATTCCTTCCGCATTCAAGCAGTTTTCTATTATCCTTATTAAGAAACAGGACACGTAGCTTTCGTTCCAATCAAAGTAAGGACATCCGTAACCCTGTTTTGGATAATTCAATTTTTTCCTAAACACACTGCTCGCGCCAGGAAAAGGTATAAGGTTCGGTCTTCTCCTCTGAGGACACAATGGTATCGTTGTCAGATCAAACATGTTGGCCAATGGGAATGGGTAATTGTAAACTTCTTGCATCACCTTGTTTAGGCGTCTCTTTGGCTTTTGTAGAAACCTATTTTTGTATTCATCCAGCAGCTGCTTTAAAAGCTTCTGTTGTTTCGATTCTTTTGTTTTTTTTACTAACAAATTGCTTCGTATTTGCCGAACCGATTGTTTATTTATCTCTTTCTTGACCACACACAATCTGGGCTTTCTTCTAGGCATATTAAAATTTATGGTTTCATCATTCGACATTGTATTTTCTATCTCTTCTATTGTCCTCGAAACATCCGAAAGTAACTGTGATGAATTTGAGGTTATAAGAACGACGTCTTGGACTCTTGCTGCTAGACCGAAGAAACCGGGTAAGTACCGAGATTGAAGATGAAAACCTGCTGAAGAGTCCATCCACTCCCTGATGGTTACTTCATTGAAGTAAAGTTCACTATTAAGTGCAAATATCATGCCTTCCTTGGCCACAACTTGGTCGATGTTGCCTCTTTTGTATGAATTGAAGTCTGTTTCTTCATCGCAATCGTAAAAATCAATTCCTAACAAATGACCTATACCGTTAGGACTGAAAATTTTGCATATGCCGGTGTCCATGATCTCAACAGTCGTTCCTTCTAAGATAAAATTATGAATCATTTGGTCTACCATTGTTCTTTGAGCTACAAATGCTATATGAGAGAAAGGTATTCCAGGTTTCAGTTCTTTGAGCATGTCCGATCTTATTGTGAGTACGATGTTGTAGATGATCGCTTGAGAATTTGAAAAGACGCCGTTGATAGGAGCGGTGGTGATCAAGTTGCTCTTGTAGTTGTACAGTGCTACACCCATATCGAGGATGCACATGTCACCGGATTGGAGGTTATCTTGAGAATAAAATTTAGAACGTTCCTCATCCAAGCAGAAGATAGACTTACCAGTGAGGCAACTAGGAGGTCTTGCTTCGAATATTTTGTTGGTGATGGATTTGATGTAGAGGTTGAACAGGTCACCGGCACAGTAACTCGCCACACCTGGACTCAAATTCCGCAGCACATAGTCCATAGCCCTGCTGTTCAACTTCGTGGCGACTGCCATGACCTGCTGCTCCCTGAATGATTTGATCATACGACATTCTTTGATAATCGGAGTCAGGACTGTGGTGCACATCCAAGCGCCGCATTTTATCAACAATTTTACAACTCCGTCTTGACTCATTCCATTCAATGTTTTTTCGTCCATGTTTGACGACACCATGAAAATATTTCTTCCAAATCTGACGATTTCGTCAAGAAATTCCTCAATAGAGATCACGTTGTCAATTCCGTATTTCGTTTTAATTTTTTTTGGATTTTTTAGAGTATAGGATGAGTGAGTACCAACGTAACTATTGTATATGATATAAGATGTTTCTGTTTCTACGTCAATGGCGCCCCACAAATTTGGTATCTCAATTCCAAAGGCCCAGTAGAAGCAAGATTCCTGCTCGAAGCAAGTGCCTAAACATTCGGGTAGTTCTAATAAATCGCTACCTTTGAGAAGTATCATCGAATTCGCATATTTTTCCCTTATTTTAGCGACTAGTCTATTCCGGTTCTCCTTAAACAATATATGCTTGATTTCAGTAAAACAGCATTGCCTTTTTAAATTTGTTAATGAAATATCGAGGCTGTCCAACAGTTGTTCTACAGATTTTCGCCTTTCTTTCTGGTAACTCTCTGGTAAAATATTTATAAATTGTACAAATCGCATTTTTTGAGATTGATAATAATCTTTCTTTGTCTGGAAAAAAGAAATTTTCCAGCGGTTAAGTCTTTGAATCTAAATATGATAAAAGCTCCAGTAGTCTTAAATCCAAAAACACTTATACCATTTTAAAAATCTGATACTGTTGATTGTTAAACCACTAAGTGATTAGTCAAACTTATTACTGGGGTATAGAATGCATTTCCATAACGTTTGTTCCATACAAAAAAATTAGGGTGAGCATCACACAAATTTTAGCTGCCACTCTACATTGATTAAAATTTATTTTGTGCCAAAAATTGAACTAATGAAAAAATTCGTTCAAGTATTTATTTAATAGAGCTATGCAATTAATATTTTAAATAGCTGGACAATAATTTTCCGAAACGTACAAATAATACAACAAAAAAACGTATGTCTGCTTTAGACCACACGATAGAAGTCAAAACATTTACAAGGTAAGGTTATTAATATTAAATATAAATAACAAATAACAGTTCATTATAAAGAGGATGAAATGCTGAACAGTTTCCTTGCTAACAATATGCAGGTCCGATTTTTAGTTTTTGTGATATTTTAATCCATGTGCAAAAACATTACAATTAGTCGACTGCAGTCGACTTTACCCGAATCGATATTACCGAGTCTGTGGGTTCATTTTCATTCACAAAAAAAAAGTGGAAACCTCGTCTACAGACGTTTCAAAAATCATTACGATTGATTTTAAGAATGACAAAAATTAAAATATTTATTATTTATGAAAATAAATTATTTAAATATTTGACATCTGTTTTAAGAATAATGACATTATCAAGATGTTAAAAAATAAAGTCAATGCTTCTCAGTACGTTATCTTTTCTTTTTATTATACATTTTTATTATACATATTTTTATCTGAAAGTGAAATGCCTCTAAATACCTTAATCATTATTACCGACATCCTGATAAAATTTTATTTATTCATTCAATTTATGTTTACATTAAAAGAATAAAATTCAGTGCTCTGCCTTAGTCCTTATTTGTTTGTCAATTTAGTTCTTTCTGTATTTACAAGTCTAATAAATCTTGCTATACTCAAGAAAAAATAAATAAAGTAATCTTATATACAATTATAAAATAATGATATTAAAAAAGTAGAAGAGATGATTCACCTCAGGAACTTGAAATTTAAAATTACTTCATGACTTCGGTTTTTCGAGTGTTTCGAAAGCCTGTATCAGATCAATGGATAAAAAAATCTTCTTAGATCTCACTGTTTTGAAATCGCTGTCGAAAGTCACGTATTTTCACAATTCAAATATAAGATCAGATTGGATTCAATAGTGCTTAACTGATTTAAAGTGAATCGTTACAAATTCGTGTTGATATATCGAATCCATTTCAAATTTCTATATATAATATCTAATAGTCCGTAGTACAGATACCTTTTTATCAAATTATTAACATCCAGCTGAAACTACGTATATAGATTCATCTCATCGTAACCTGCAAATATTATATTTCCAAAATTGTAGGAATTGGGACGTTTTAAACCTGGATGTCGGTAAACTTTGTCTATTTAATTATGTACTAAAAACTCGTAAATACCCAGTCGCTTTCCACTGGAATTGTAAGATAACTTGAACATAGAGTGGAGAAAAAATATGGCCTTCATAAATATTGAACCGTTTGGCGTAACCTACATCCCCAAATCGTCAAAATAATGATGTTATATAGACCAAACCGCCCAATATTTTTGTAGGCCACCTTTTTTTATCGATTTTGTGATCACATAAATATTTACGAGTTTTAATATCTAATTAAATAGACAAAGTTTGCCGATCTCCAGAATGAAAACTGCCCCAATTACAAGAATTTTCGTAAATAAAATATTGTAGGTTACGATGAGAAATTTCAGCCAGATATTCTGAACAAAGGGGTCTGTACTACGGACTATAATTGTTTATTAGCGACACTTAAAACTATGCGACTTAAAAATATATATTTCGAATTTATTAAATTTCTTAATATTAATATTAATAGAAGTCGTTATATGTTTCCTAAGAATATAATGTTGTAGTTATTTTGTTTATTTTATGGAAATTTATTTTAAATTATTGCTACGGATCTTTTTTTTTTTACTTGTAAACACAATTCGTAGCAAACAGGTTTTTGTTTGAATAGGTATAAAAAAATCCATATTTAAAATGTATGAAGAAAGATACAATAAAATAACTGAAATTGGATCGACCTAATGTTTTTCTAGGAAATTTCTTTTGTGGTATAGAAAATTAATTTACCTAATTTATTTGTTTATTCACTTCCATTAATCCTAGTAATCAATTGTTATATTGGTGGTTTTCGTAGGTTCACTTTTTTTTTAATGAAAATAATACTGGCCAAATAAGTAAAATATAAATTGTAAATTTAGAAATATTTTCCAGGGCTGAAAACAAATGATTTGTGAAATTCACAACGGCCACTAACGAGTATTAAATCACATGTTTCCACACAGATGACCTATATAAATTATGATTAACGCATGACATCGTTATTTTGATTTCCATTGATTAATATTTATTACAATGTAGTAACATTTAAAAATTTATTTTAATTTACTTAATTTTATATGATCTTCATATTTTAATTTTTCTGATAACTTACTGAAGTCATGCTGTAAAACCTCTGCTCCTCAGTAAATGTTTACTGTCATTACTACGATAATCACTGTCATGGTGTAAACAGAATGACAGTCGTCGTGATGACGAAATCCTCACAGTACTGTTGAATCATCAACACCAGTGACAGCAACTTTGGGTTAAATATTACATGTATGTTCCTAGACATTCAACATTTAACATACCTAATCCATCAAATTAAATGCATGCTCTGATAATTATATTTTGAAATTGATTGATGCAACACGTTTATCCCATCCGATTTATGGAAAAAGAATAGAAGTTTTTTAATTTGTGTTTATTCATTCGTATCTATTTAGTTTAGGTATTTTTTTTTAATTTATCATATAAACAAGTTACTTTGATAAAATAATCATAAAATCAGCTGGCATCCGCCCTTTTTTGACTGAATGACAATAAATTAATTGTCGAAGACAAATATACTTTCAATATGTCAACAACTATATCTATTAGCTCTTGTTGAAACTAGCTTATTATTGTGTTTGTTATTGCTATTGAATATGGAAGAAAATATCATTCATTATTAGCATATTTTATTGTGTTATTTTAAAAAAGGTGAGCGTGCTGCAGAAGCTCATAGAAAAATGTGCAGTGTTCATGAGGATGATACCTTAACCGAACTCAGGATAAAGCTCCTTACTTTGTCACTAATAAAATCATCCATAATGACATTGTTCCTTATGTTTCTGACCTGGCTCAATCCATCCATAACAAACTTCAGAACCATTCAAACCCTCTCGTTTCTAATCTTGCTTCCTTTTCGATCCCTGACAACCCTCCGAGGCGTCTGAAAAGAAGATGGCCTCGAGATCTTCTTTAGTAAATAAATTTTTAGAGTTCTAACAGCGGGTAGTTTTTCAACAAGTGGTTTCATGTTATTACATTCTTGTGTTCACATTTACTGAATGTATTTCTATTTGTATTACAGTTGAAAATATCATAAATAAAAAATAATTGTAAGACTTTTGCAGATGATATATTTCAATTACTTTACAGATCTTCATGGATTTATAATTATATAAAGATTGGTAAAAGTGAATATAATATATTGTATCAATGAATAATTATGTGAATGGTGGAGATTTTGGACATATTAGAATGATTTTAGTATATTTTATCCCTTCGGATTTGAACATTGTTGAATTTTTCGAACATACTGTTATAAAGATGAACAATCAATCCAGATAATAAACATAGTGAAATCGATACCCAAACAAGATCATCTGCTCCTAACGGGACAGAGTAATATTATAACGAGAAGGTTGCCGCGCCAGAGGCCCAGAAATGCCATTTCTTCAGTACCCCGACCCCGAATATTGGCTTTGTTAAGAGCTTTGTCCTCTGGCCCTGGGAGTTGAAGAAGTGACAATAAGCGAGATCAATCTTCGTCCATTGTCAGCCATTGTGGTCTTTCTTCTCTCTGGATCCTTCTGTTTTTGTTCCTGTCTTAACCTAAGGTACCATCAACTCAACAATTGTTTCTCTATTTGTGGATTTGGAACATTTTTAGCAAACCTATATTATTTACGAGCCATTTCTTGCCTAATCATTCAGCTAAAGTTCATTTTACACCCACCGAGTATTCCCCCTATTTTACACCGAAAAAAATTCAAATTTTAACCTATTCATATTTTTATTTATTTATTTATATATAATAGTATAACATGCATGAGTGAAATGAGAAATAAATCAATAAGTAAAAATATAGTAAATCATCTTAACATTTTCATTTCTATGTACAATATTTACATCCGCCCATAGAACTCTGAGCCAAGCTCTGCCTCCAAAAGTGAAGGGCAAAGTAGGACTTCAGGAGATCCCAGTGCCTCTCTTCCAGCTGCGTCTCCGGATTAACCAGTTCTAACGAGCTGCTTCATAATTGGCAAAAAAAAAAAAACTACTGGACAGATTCCCAATCTAGAATTTTTTTTTTAATAGTCGGTGTAGTCTAGTCAAAATCTTAATCAGACAGTATAAAAAAGATTAAAAACATTTTCGTAATTGTGGATTGATAGTTAACTGTCGTAAATAATGAAGAGAAGGATGATTGGGGTGATCAGTCAGAAACAAAAAGGCAAAAATAAATAATAATGTTTATTTTAACATTTTCCGACGTTTCGACCTGAATTTCCGACTTTCATCAGCGCTTTTCCAAGAGATTGCTGAAATAGAGTTTTCTATTATACTTTATTCCAGCAATTTCTTAGAACAGACCTGATGAAGGCCTGAACTTTAGGTCGAAACGTCGGCAAATGTTAAAATAAATATTATTATTTATTTTTGCATTTTTATTTCTGACTGATAACCACAACCGCCCTTCTCTTCATAAAAACATTTTCGTCTAACTGCTTCCTTAGAAAGGTTAATAGTTATACTGGATAATGTTTAATTTTAGAATTACAATTTTGCTTTCATTAAAAATGCTACCAAAACGTTATGAATAAAATGCTACCTAAATATTAAGTGTCACATAAATGCACTCAAGTAACAAAGAAGAGATATTATACAGAAATAATTAATTACATATTTATGTATTTTTATACATAAAAGCATGTATATTTATATATTATATATTTATGTAAGTTTATGCGTATAACAATCTCTACCAAATGATAACTATATTCTAGCCATGATCCTTTAATGGTTTAGCAATAATGAATTTTACGGTCTTTTCATTAATTAATAATATTAACAAGAGGCAGGATGGCCGAACGAAAGCATGAGAAAAACATGTCTTGTTCGCCAACATGATAAACCGAAATTCATACGACACAATTTCGAGTTTGGGTGCCGGAGGGCTTTAAACTGTGATATTAATACCCCCACCCTCTCCTCTGACCTAGAAGGGTGAACAAAAAAAACAACATTAATTCATACATTGGCTAAAACGCACTCGCTCAAACTCCACTGCCTTTAGCTACAGTAACGCAATTGAGAGAGTAGCGTAGGGATCTCTCCCTCCTGCTTTTCCTTCTATAGTTTGAGCGAGAAACCTGGCTTAGGGTTCCCTGGGGCTGGGGTTCCGGTTTTTTATCATTATTTAGTTATTATTTTACTTTTGTTAATTTTATATTTTCTGTGTATATGATGTGAATGTGTTCATATATCACTATAATTATTGTCCACGAGACAGATTATTATATGTCTAAATAAAAAAAATTCATACATTAAAAAAATTACTTTCATAATATTAATAATAATTGGAAATAAAAAAAAATACAAATTAAACTTGGCTATAACTAAATGATATTCTTATTGTTAATATCGCTGTGTTCCTTCAAATATAAAAAAAACAATTTCTTGACACATCTCGAAATTTACAAACCTACAAACTTATTTTCTTTTATAATAACCATATAAAATACTATATATTAGTCACCAAAAAAATATGATACATAAATTATAGATCCAAGTTTTTGAATTCATGAGACATATATTAATTTACAACAATATATATCCGACAATATGTACGAAAATATTTTTTAAGAATTTTTGTTCGTAGTTTATACTATGTGATAAAACATTGTAAAAAATATAGCTGGGACTTATTTTCAGCTATTGATCAACTACTGCGAAGATATATCTTGGAAAAGTTTCTAACAAGCCATCGATCAAAAAAGTGAAGCCTTGGTCGCAAGTTGTTAAGTCTTTCTGTCGACTTTTCAGAGAACCTTCTGGGCTAGCTGTTATATAAGAACAGTAAACTATTATATTGTTAAACAAATATTATATTTGTAATAATTTTATATATTATTTCTAAAAGGTATTTTATTTTGTCGGTGAGCCATAACTTCGTAAATTCTTCATCAAATCCAATGATTGACCACTCATTTTGGAAGATATTCTTCTCCATCACATTCGAAAAATACTCCTATTCTATCGAAATATCTGGGAAAAAAGGTAATAAAGGAAAACAAACTTTATTCGCGAATTACCTAAAAAGTATGAATTTTTTTCTTGATTGTACCCATGATAATTAGAAAGGTAACTAAATCACCTACAAAACAAAAAAAAACACGTAAAAATCGAACAATGTTTAACAAAGATACAGTCTATTAGTTTTGATATACTTAGTAATGTCTTCCTGTTTAATGATACTTAAGAGGAGAATAGTCTACTACACTTTTTTTCCAGGCTGATATATTAACTTTATTATTTCTTCAAGACTTTTGTTTGTTCTTTGATTTTATTCTTTGTTTCACAAAAAGTATGATAGTACATATAATAATTAGTAAGATTACCAAATTAGCTACAAAACTAAAAAAAAATTTAAAAATTGGACATTATATACAAAGATACATTGAATCAATTTTGGTGTGCCTAATAATTTCTTCATCTTCATTTATCATTCTACTACACTTTTTTTCTTTCATATTAAATTCATTATTTCTTAAAGATATTTGTTTGTTCTTACATTTTATTTTTTTTTAGTAATTTAAAATACCCCATTATCGAGGCTTTATTTTGTCTTTACTACCTTTGTTATCTTTCCAGTCAACGTTTAAAAATAGGTCCTAGCAAAGCAATTTGTACAAATACTTTGTTCCATTATGTTTAATGGAATATTTTAATCGACCGAGGAAAAAATATTAATTCCTTCCTTACATAAAACATAGGATATACTTATTGCTATATGTTTTTGCTATTTCTTCAATAAAAAAAAAT